AAGTGAAGTCTAGGAGTTATTTCTCCAGTAGGGGATGGCTTGAGATCTTGAACCTTTTCAACCAGAGTTTTCAAAAAGGTTGGAACGGACTTGTATTGCATCAGAACTTTAGCAAACGTGCTAAAACCGAGAAACCACAGTGTATGGTCCGATAAGAGGGAAATGGTTAATTTGGAGAAATACGTGGGGTTCTCGTCAGTTAAAACCATTATCTTGACTGGGTCATGGTACACCGTTGGGGCCATGATATGGATAACTGCGTCCCAAGCAAATAAGGCCAATAAGGCTTCAACTGCATTCGACGCTACTGGGTTTCCATGTCTAAGTAGACGGCGGAGCATGTTGTCAGCACGCCCAGTAGCGTGAAGAAGTTGTACGCATTTTTGGTACTTTAAATTTGCCTTGGACAGAATTGGTAGTAAGGCCAATAATCGGCACACTACTCTGTTAAGTGCAAGAGTGTCAACTTTAGCTTAAGTTGCTATAGCGCCCAGCATAAGTCCTGGGATAGCCTCAATAGTGGCTAGCTGGTCCAGAGGGGGTCGACTTTCGAATTTCCCAAGAAAGGAGTCCACATAGTCAAAAAGTTCACCCCGAGTCATAGACTCAACTTCGTAGTTAATGGTCAATGGGGTAACCATAGCAGTGTAGGTCGAGTCACCTTTGTATGGTGGGGGTGCTCTCCAAACAAACAGCATCATTTTCTGAAAGATGGATTTCAATATCGAAATGCCATTGCGGTGTATCAGGATCCAAATCATCAAGCCACAATGGGCTATAATAATCAGGCCTCACAACCTTTTTGGCTTGAGTCGGGCAGTCCAAATCTTTAACCTCGTATTCCATGGAAACAATGTCCACAGAGTTCGGGTTGTCAATAGCGGATAAGGCTCGACGATTTCTAGCCGCTTTCGCCCATACTGGGGCGGAGTAGGTTGGAACTGGTGCAATAATTGTTTCATCCATTGGACCAGAATTATCCCTAAGACCAACTTGGTCTTGCAGGGAGTCATCATCACTATCAACATATATGGGGGGGTCGTCCGATGTTGACATTGCGTCATCAGTATCAGACTGTTGTCCTTTCATTGCAAGCTGGGACGCCTGAAGCGACTGACGTAGAGACGAGTGTAAAGGAGCGGCCGGCAAATCCTTGGATCCTCGCATGTAAGTTGGTAAAATGCATGTGGGAGGTGCACCACAAGATTAAAACCAGTCGAATATGGCTTGATCTGATATTCGTCGGGAACTCGAACCAAATCCACATAGTAACGTGAGCCATATTTAGAAAAACGTGCTATTCGGATTGTTGAGCGAGAAGCAGTCAATGACACTTGACTCAATTTCGAAGCCATGTCATAAGACGCACAAGTAAAGCGAACACCAGCATTAGGGATAGTAAAAAAATCCTGCAGAAGCCGGGTTTGACGTGCATCCTTCCATACTTGGGGTTGTGAGTCAGTTGCCAGCTCGTCCAACAAATCCGCCAGATGTTTCTTTCGAATTACTGTAGGGCATGGGATCCACATACGGTGTAATTCAGTCGATGCGGCTGGCGTAGGAGCTAGCTTAAGCGCATTGCTTCGTAGCGCATCGAAGTTTAGTGAAGCTAATTCAGCTTCACTGGCGGTAAAGAATGAGTCCGTTGGAACTTGGCGAGGGTAATAAGCTCGCGGTAGTTTTGGTGCAATAGGCATCTTTTGTATATATACATATTTTTTCTCTCTTTTATATGTAAATGTAGTATGTAACTTTTCTTTTCGCTTTACTATGGAGAGTTAGTTAAAGCTTTTAGGCCCTAAACTCCTTTAAAGTTGACGCGGTGACTGACTGCAGTTAAAGTGCAAACGAAAACTTTGAGGGATTTTACCACACAAAATCTCGAGAGTTTTAACTGTGAGCCACGCAACGCAAAGTGTATTTTAATACACGGCGTATTGCGGCTGCAGTCCTTTAACTAGGAAATTAAGCCCGTAAACCCCTTGAACGGTGGTTCTTAAATCCTCTCAATCAGAATGCAATATGCACTAGATATCAGGAAACGGGGGTAATATTCCAGAAAAAGGTGCGTAAACCTTGTTGGGGTAAAAGCAGTGAGTGAAGGCACAGAGTGCACAGTAGACGTTATACAGTAAAAACCGCGAGACTAGAGCTGGGTAGCGTTCGAACCGAGAGGTCAAGCGAAGTCGGCGCCGCGAAGGTTTTCGAAGCGGAGATGCGAAGATAGACAAGGGTGGCCTTTTCTTGTGCACGTGTACGGGAGAAGGCAAACTGAGAATTCATTACACATACCCTGTAACAGATGTGTATCACACCAGATGGGCATGGTGTGACTACACCCAAACAAGAATACGGTACGGGGCATCTTTGGCACAGAAAATATTCCCTTTTTAGGGTGCTTCATTGGGAAGCGTGGTCTTCGAGCGGACCCCGCTAAGGTCAAGGCCATTGAAAACTGGCCGGCTCCAAAGAACCAGAAGGACTTGCGTAAGTGGCTTGGTCTCGCCAACTACTTGCACAAGTACGTGTAAACTACGCAGAAATGGCCCGACCATTATTCAATCTCCATAAAAAGAATGCGGAATGGTGTTGGAACACGGAACATTTGACGGGGTAAAAGACAGCCTCCTGCATGCACCAATGCTGGCGCTGCCAGACCCTGATCGTCCTTTCATCGTCGTCTGTGTCGTTTCGGA